AAAATACTGTTGTTTTTAGTGGGTGCTTGCATCAAATCTGATCCTGAAGCATAGTGACGCCATGGTACAGAATAGAAATGTCATGTATAGTTTTGTAGGCTGTAATATTTATGACAGCAGACTTCCAGGCTTAAATCCCCAACTTTAAGTTAGCAATCAAATGCTTAACTGGCTGTACTACTCTGACTTCTCGGAGCCATGCCTCATTGTTGGTTCCTTTGAGTCAGTTAGAACTCACAGTAACCCGACCAGGACATCAGACCTAAACACTGCCTAGGCCTGCATGAACCTCAGAGCCATCACTAGGCTAGAGCCACGACATTAATGTATCAGTCCACCTCACTGAGGATTTTCCTATTTTCCATTGATTCCCGACTTTACCTACAGGATGTCCCCCTCTAGCGACTGGTGCCTCCTGATAACATGTCCATGTATGTGAGATGATGTCCTGACATCTTTGCCACTAAGCAGTGTCCCAGTCATACTTCCTCAAGACATATTTATTCATTCTCCTCACAGTCCACAGCATATTCGATGTTCTTCATTGACACCAGAATCCAAAGGCATCAATTCTTCTTTGGTCTTTCTTATTCATTTTCCAGTCGTTTACATAAATATAAAATACCTGGAAGCACCATGATTTGGAACAGGTGCACCTTAGACCTCAAAAAATGACATTATTGCTTTTCAAAGACTTCAAAAGAGCTCTTTTGCAGCAGATTCACCCAGTGCAATACAGCGACTGATTTCTTGTCTGCTGCTCCCATTGGGTGTTAATTGTGAATATCAATAAAATGAAATTCTTGACAACTTCAATGTGCTTTGTTGTTATGTGCTGCTGAGTCCCCTGCAACTAATAGTGACCCTATATACAACAGCTCTAAACACTGCTCTATCCTAAGCCAACCTTACTGTCTCTGACACACCCACTCCCATTACCCCAGGCACTGAGTCAATCCATCTTATTCAGGGGTTTCCTCTCTTGTGTTGTCCCCCCACCCTCCCAAGCATGACAGCCCTCTCCAAGGACTGGTCCCTCCTTGCAACATGTCCAAAGTATGTCAGATGAAGCTTCCAAATCTTTGCCTACAAGGAGCAGCATGGTTTAATCCTCTCCAGGACGAGCCTGTTTGTTTTCTTAGCAGTCCGTGGTATATTCAACACTCTTCTCCAGCACCACAGCTCAAAGGCATCAATTCTCTTTCTATCATCCCTAGTCATTGTCCAGCTTTCTGATGCATAGCGAGTAATTGCAAAAACCATGGCCTGAATCAGGCACACTTTGGTCTCCAGCCTGTTATAATTGCTCTTCAATACTCTGGAGAGGTCCCTGACAGCAGATTTTCCCAGTGTAATTTATCTTTTGATTTCCTGGCTGCTCGTACCAAGAGTGTTGATTGTGGAACCAAGCAGACTAAAGCTGTTAACAATCTCAATCTTTTCACCACCTGTCATGATGCTGCCAACTGGCTCAGTGGTGAGAATCTTTGTTTTCTCGACATTGAGCTTCAATCCGTATTGAAGGCTGCAGTCCTTGACCTTCAGCAGCAAGTGCTATATGTCCTCCTCAGTTTCAGCAAGCAGAGTTGTGTTACCTGCATAACAGGTTATTGATGAGTCTTCCTCCAATTCTGATGCCACATTTGTCCTCATAGAGCCCAGCCTCCTGGAAAATCTGTTCTGTATATAGATTGAAAAGGTATGGATATAGAACACATCCCTGGCATACACACTTCCTAATTTTGAACCACATAGTATTTCCTTGCTCTGTTCTGATGACTGCCTCCTGGTCCAAGTATAGGTTTTGCATAAGCACAATCAAGTGCTCTTGGATTCCCATTCTTCTCAGAGTCAGACACAGTTTGTTGTGGTCCACAAAGTCAAATGCCTTTGCATAGTCAATAAAACACAGATAGACATTCTTCTGGTATTCTCTGCTTTCAGCCAAGATCCATCTAACATTAGCTATAATATCCCTCATATTGCACATCTGGCAGTTCTCTTTTGATGTGCTATTCCAGTTGTTTTTGGATAATTTTCAACAGAATCTTGCTTGCAGGTGATATTAATGATATTGTTTGATAATTTCCGCATGCTATCGGTCACCTTTCTTTGTTTGGAATGGGAACAAATATGGATCTCTTCCAGTCAGCTTGCCAGGTAGTTGTCCTCCAGATTTCTTGGCACAACTTAGTGCATCCAGGACAGTGTCTGTTTGTTGAAATATGTCAATTGATATACCATCAATTCCTAGTGCCCTGTCTTTTGCCAATTCCTTCAGAGCAGTTTAAGCTTCTTCCTTCATCACCACAGGCTCTTGCTCATACATTCTTCTTGTATAGCTATACCCCTAGAAATCACAACTTCAATAGAAGTTGGGGAAAAAGTATATTGTTTCTTCATCTTCAGAAGTACAGGTTGCTGCATAAATTTGAACAATAATCCTATAAAATGGTCTTCCGTGTAGGCGTGTAAGTATTACGCAGACACTGACGGCAACTATACTGCAGATTAAATCGTGGGATGCTCTGTTTGACAAGGAATGTGAGAGTCATCCCAGCACAGTAGAGCATATGATTATCTGATTCAACGTGGTCAGGGCCAGTCCTTTCCAATTCATGGCTATGCCCCACTAGCCCAGAACGAGCAGAAGGTGGGACAGAAGAATCTTCCCTTCCCCCATGGAGGCTTTGTTATTACCAGCAGGGCCGGGGTCCTGCTGTTCCCAGGTAACGTCAGACACCTGAGCTACCCGGGACTCGTGACCACTTCTCAGCCCTACATCTTCTATACTTTGATCTTCTCCAACCTCTAAGCTACACCAACCAGGGGTGACTTTGACTCAGAAAATCTTCTGAGACTCTCAGACTATATATTTGTTTACTCTCTGCACAAGATGTGACAAGTTTATATAGTTGTCAATGTCATTTCTGTGGATCAGAAGCTTATACACTGGTTTAGGGGGGAAAGAGAGCTCTAATATCATGTTATCCTTACAACATTAAAGGTTTAGAGTAATCCCTTCCATAACTTCCCTCAAGCAGAAACAGAAATGGAACTTCTTCAAAGTGGAAATCATTTCCGGAACATCAGCTCAATAGATGAGATTAACCCACCTGCCTCTGCAGGTGAAATTACTCCCACCAGAATTTTTTTCTTTTTAAAGTTAAAGTAAAAGAGAGGCAATGATTTTTATGTTAACTGATACTTTTATTATTTTGTGTGTGTGTACTGTCAAATCGGATCTGACTGGTACAGAAGGAGATTGTCCCTCCTTCTCCAGCGGAGCATCTGGTGGATTTGAACCATGCACCTCTGGGATTGCAGTGTAGCTTCTTGCCACTAGGCTACCAGAGCTCCCTTGTTAACTGATATTTTTAAAAAAATTAAAATATACATATACACACACATATGTATATCATATATATATCAACTTATGTAAGTTACAAAGATAAATAAAACTTCACCAATAGAGTCTTTTTCTTCTTGAACATACAAATAAAAATAACAGGATGTCCTATTAAGACTAACATGCAAACATTTTTTCCAAGATATTACCATCAAAAGACTAGGCCCACTGTTGTCAAATTAATTCTAACTCACAGCAACCTTATGTAGAAGGAGATCCCTGGTGGGCTAGAGGGTAAGGATTCGTGCCGCCAACCCAAAGGCAGGCAGTTTAAATTCACCCCCTGCTCCTTCAGAGAAAGATGAGCAGTTTCCTCCTCTGTGATTTACAGCCTCTGAAAACCCACTGGAGGGTCAGCTATGAGTTGGTTCTGAGAAGTCAGCAGTGGGCTTTTAGGATTATGTAGGAGAACCATTTTGTAAAGGGTTTCCATGGCTGTAGATTTTGGAAGTAGACAGACTGCCATATTTTTCTCCCAGGAAGCAGCTTGTGGGTTAGAACTGCTGACCTTTCGTTCAGCAGCCAAGGTCTTAATCACTATGTAACTGGGGCTCTTATGCACCTCTTGTAGGTCAGTATTATTTTTGTGTTGTTGCTTTGAACCACTGAGTTGGAAGTGACTCGTAGCTGTCCCTCCAGGGGCATTTCAGTGTGGCAATGACATGGGAGGAAACTGCCCGTCTCCCTCCCGATAATACAAACCACGTGCCCTGGGGTAGGCAGAGCAACTCCTTATTGCTAAGCTACCAGGGCCCGCACTATTATTATGAGCATCTCAACTTTACAGCTGATGAAAACTGAGGACTAAAAGGCTGAAAAGCCTGTGCACAGTACACCTTGCACAATTGGAGAGTGGCTTGCTAGTCTGATGCCCGACTTTATGCCTAAATCACGCATCACCATCAACAAACTCGTATTGTTGTTGTGGTGGTGCTGGTGGTGGTAGAGGTGTGCTGTCAAGTTGCAACCCATAACTGGTCCTCTAGCTGGTTTCAGAAGCAGTAAATCCCACGGACGGAGACTGCCCATCCTTCACTCAAAGCAGTTGGCTGATTTGAAGGGCAGGCCTTTGAGACTGCTGTACAGCTTCTTACCACTGGGCCACTAGAGCTCCCTAACCTGTGTTGTTGTTGTTGTTGTATGTACCACAGAGTCAGAGCCTACCCACAGCTGACCCTCCTGCGGGTTTTCAGAAGCAGTTAATCGCACAGAGGAGATTGTCCATCCTTCTTCTGTGGAGCAGCTGGTGGCCTCGAACTGTGTACCTTCAGGATTGCAGCACAGCTTTCTTACCATTAGACAACTAGAGCTCCCTAACGTGTATTAGAAAAGAAATGAAAAATAACAGAATATCATGTATAAGAAAGTCCATAGATAGACCTGGAGATCACTGCCCAGCGCTGTAATCTCTGTGCCATCCGGGCTCCTACAGTATAGCACAGAGGTTAAAAATTAAGTCACCGCCTATTTCTGTTTTATGACTAGAACAAAATGGGACTCTCGCACAGAGTTGTGCAGAGATTAAAAGCAGAATCTAATTTGTTTACAACTCAAAAAGGACAAAAAGGTATCCCTGAGTGAGTCTACTGACCTTCCGGACACTGGCAGGTGAACCCAGTGACATCAGAAACACACGTCGCTCCGTTTCTGCATGGCTCCAGGACACAGTAGTCAATCTTGGATTGGCAGAGCTCTCCGGTGTAACCTGGGTGAACAAGGGGAACATTTTATGTTAGTCCCCAACCTCCATCACCATCCTCATGAACAGATGCACTCAACTCGCCCGCCCACCAAGGCAGCCCCGGTCTTCAGCGGAAATCTCCCAGCCGCTTCTCAATCTCATTGTCTTTTACAGCTAGAAACAATCAAAGCTGTTGAGGATCACAGCATCAAAATGAATTCATTTTACAAAACCCTTCCTTGCAGAAAAAAAGACTTTGCTTTGGCATTAAGTCTGTGTTTCTTCTTGAATACTAATCAGAACCTTCAGAACCTAAGACTGAATACCTCCATCGCCATCTGTAAGAGAGAGCAGAAGTTCGAACATTCAGGTCGAGAAAGTTGGCCACTTTAGACCATGTATAAGAAAGGCATTAGGGAAATGTGAAAACTACTGCCCTGAAAGAATTCTTAAACTTTAAAGCTGAAGCCAAAGTTACTCCCGAAGGTCTTTAAAAAAAAAATAAAAATCCAACAATAGCATATGTTAATTAGCAAAGTATGTCTACTTTGAATGTTGCACTCTTTTGAAGAGTTAGCTATGTGAGATCAAATTGGCAGCAGCGACTTAGGAGGCTGCATGAGAAGCTTCGAGGGCAGTAAGTTCAGGATGGGATATTTTGAAAAAGAACAGAGAGGCTGGCAGCACAAGGTGTAATGTAACCAACGGTAATGAGTTTTGCACATGCAGAAATTGTTGAACTCACGCATCCTAGCCCGCATATACTAACAAAATTTAATTTTACTGGATTTTTTTATTTTATTAATTGATATTTTAACTAAAGTTGGCAGAAAACTTGGATTTCCATTCATTCATTATTGCACATTTCCCTCCCTATCCTCCCTCAGTTCGCTTTTCTCCTTAAAAAGATTCTTTCATTGTTGCACAATTTCCTCCCTCTTCCGCCCCCCCTCCCCCCAGTCCACTTTTCTATACACCTCTTATTCTGGACTTTTGTCATGCAAATAATGCCTAATCATATATTTCTTTTAGACAGTAATTTCCCTCATCTATTTCAATGCAGGGTTCATTATTTATCCCCTCTTTTCCTGGCCTCTTCCCAACCCCCATATCAATCCTGTTTTATAAGAGTGGTATTATGCAATATTTGTCCTTTTGTGGCTGAGATATCTCACTCAGCATACTGTCCTCCAGGGTCATTCATTTTTGTGTCATATTTCATGAGTTCCTTGTTTTTAAGTGCTGCATCTTATTCCATTGTGTGAATATACCACAGCTTCTCTATCCATTCAATTGCTGATAGGCAATTGGGTTGCTTCTATCTTCCTGCTATGTGAACAGTGCAGCAATAAACTGGGTGTGCATATATATGTCTGGGTGGCAGTTCTGGGTTTTTTAGGGTTTATTCCTAGTAGTGAAATTGCTGGGTCAAATGGTATTTCTATATCCAACTTTTTGAGAAAGCGTCACACCACCTTCCAGAGTGGTTGCACCAATTAAATGGATCATATTTTAGAACCAGAACAATCCTTCATGTTGATTCTTTGTACACAAATCCATATGCACATAGGCACACGTATTTTAAAGATAAAGAGGTTGAGGGGCGTATCATATTAAGTTCTTTAATATGTTAATCTTAATGCTTTAAGTCAGAAATCCAAGTCAGTAAAAAGCAAGCCTCCAAAGGGTCTGATACAATGATACTGCTGGGTTGTAACACAGTCATCCAAGAGTGACAATGTATTACGGATTTAAATCGATTGAGAACACCTGTGCAGTCACAAAGCCTGAAATAAATTACTTTTTTTATTCATTTGAAAGCAAAGTTCTCCAGTAATAGCAGTTTTTAAATATTATATATATTTATACATATATATATTCACACACACAAATATGCATATAGACATATATACATATATATACATATGTGTGTATATGTATATATGTGTGTGTATATATGTGTGTGTGTCTGTATATATATGTAGTTGTTGTTGTTGTTGTTGTTGTGTACCACAGAGTTGAAACCAATCTACAGCTGAACTTCCGGTGGGTTTTCAGAGGCAGTTAATCACACTGGTGGAG